TAACTTAGGACATCTTCACAAAATAAATGTTTTTTTAGGTTAAAATGACAGTCACCAGATTTGTTTCTTAGAAAGTTTTGTTTAGCTGTGGCACATGTTTATCAGCAGTACTAAAAGAAGCTTTACAGAAAAGTCAAAATAGGATTACACTAGTTGCTATGACACAGACAGGGAAGCAATGGTACACATTGTCCTTGTTGTCTTCTGATCTCACTAGGTTGTTTTCCTAAGGCCTGAATACATTTAACTCTTGGGTTTTTTTGTTGTTGTTGTTTTTTAAGATAAGGGCTCCCTGTAGCCACAGCTGACCTGAAACTTGCTATGGAGACGAGGCTAGCCTCTATCTCACAGAGATCTGCCCACCTTTGCCTCCCCAGTGATGGGACCAAAGGCATGTGCCACCATGCCAGACCTAACTCTTATTTTTAAAATGAAATTTCAAAGCAGGGACTGGAGAGATGGCTCTGGTTAGGAGCACTTGCAGCACTTGCAGAGGACCTAGGTTCAGTCCCCAGCAGCCACATCTACATCTGACAGTTCACATCCGCCTGTAATTCCAGTTGCAGGGGATCCAACACCCTCCTCTGATCTCCTCAGGCACCCCCACATGGCACACAGAGACAGACATACGTACACATAGATAAAAATTAAATTAGGGGCTAAAGAGATGGGCTGGAGAGATGATTCAGTACTGGCTGCTCTTGCAGAGGACCCAGGTCTGATTCCCAACACCCACATGGTGGCTAACAACTGCTGGTAACTCCAGTTCCAAGGAATCTGATGCCCTCTGCTGACCTCTGAGGATATTGCACGACATGGGTGCACCTACCTGCATGCAGGCAATACACTTATTTGTAAAATAAAAATAATAAAATATTTTTAAAATTAAATTAATAGCAAAGGTATGTGTGATACAAAACAAAATTCTGTTTGATTTTTAAAGTTCTGCACAAAAAAATTTTTAATTGTATACAAACTCTTTTCCCCCGATACTTTCTGTGATTCTAAAACATTGAGCATTTTGAAGGAAAGGAATGGTATAAAGGAGAGGAATATTTCCTATTTGGAAAACAAGCTAAGTGCATTTGAATTACTAGCTGGAGCAAGTTTGATAGAAACAGCATTTATATAGTTAGTCATCCTTAGTTCTTTGGCAGGAATTACTATTGACTTGTCTGTCACCAGGTGTTCATTACTCAGACTTTTTATTTAGGAGAGGATGAAGGCTACAGTCTTCTATATATGAACCAGAAAGAAATGTTCCTTAACATTATGACTTGTGAGAAATTTCCAAATAACTTTTTCAGGTGTTATAGCTAATAAGTTATTGTATTCCCATGGACACAGGACTGCGGGTTGATACTATTTAAATTTTTCTCCTTTACATAAAATTTGAGAGCCAGCTGAGTTACAGAGTTATGAAAGAGAAGGAAGGCTAAGCAGCAGGAAGTAGTCATCTCTTTGAGTCACCAGCAGTGACTGCCACTTTACTAGGAAACATTCAGCACATTTCAAAACCTGAAGTGGGCCCTCCTTGATTTCTGTCTGGCTAGTTTCTATACATTATTGGTACTTCTTGGTTCCTTAGTAGAGGTCAGCTGGGGCTTTCATGTGACTTTTTTTTTTTTTTAAGTGTATGCATGTATTGCCTGCATGTAGGTAAGTGCACCCGTGTCGTACAATGCCCATGGAGGACAGAAGAGGCTGTTGGATCCCTTGGGACTGGAATTACAGACAGTTGTTAGCTGCCATGTGGGTGCTGGGATTTGAACCCGGGTCTTCTGCAAGAACAGCCAGTGTTCTTAACGCCATCTCTCCAGCCCCAACTTTCATGTGATTTTATAAAGCCCTTTTTTCTTTAAGACTAAGATTTCTTATTTCTATTTTATATTGAAAAGAAAACACCTGTAAGCCAGGCATGGTGACACACACACCTTTAATCTCAACACTCAGGAGGCACAAGCAGGTGGATCTCTGTGAGTTCCAGGCCAGCCTGGTCTACATAGCAAGTTCCATGCCAGGAGGGAATACAGAAAGACCCTGTTTCAAAAACAAAAACATACAAACAAAAAACAGACTGAAAGAAACAAAACCAAGGCGACTGGGATCACTGGAATACACCAAATACTGTTTTCTTTTTGAGGCAGGCTCACTGGATGCAAGAAACAAAACTGCATCCTAGTATACATCAAATTCTCTTAATTCTTTCTCCCTTTGTTCCCATGTCTAGAAAGCAGCATGGTTTACCAATAAACAAAAGCAGACATGCTTTCCGACTTACTGACTTAGTGACTGCACACAATATACAAGTCTCAGTCCTCATGCCTGTAAAATGGGAGTAAATTACTCATAGAGTTGTGAGGATTAAGCTAAGAGAAATACCTGAAGACTGATGACAGCTGAGGATACTTAATACGTTTTGGCTCCCTCTCTCCATTTAATTTTTTTGTATAAATAATCATTATCTCCCAAAAGATTTAAATTGAAACACAATAGTTCATTATGAAAAACTGGGAAGGTTAGTAATCTTTTTATGTCAAAATAACCATTTATTTCTTCTGCCCTCAAAAAATGGCAGGCAAAGGGCTGGAGAGATGGTTTAGCCGTTAAGAACACTGGCTGCTCTTGCAGAGGACCTGGGTTTGATTCGCAGAGCTCACATGGCAGCTAACAACTACTCCAAACTCCAGTTCCAGTATTAGTCCCTTTTATGGCCTCCACAGGCATTGCATGCATGGGTACACTCATATACATTCAGGCAAAACATTCATATGCTAAAAAAAAAAAAAGAAAAGAAAGATTTTTTTTTCCAGGCTAATTCACAAATGCTATCTGCTGAAAATCTTGAGCCCAAAAAGGATGCAATAGTTTATGTGAACATTCATAAGACACATTTCTCTTTGTTACCTCTTGCAAAGCAGTAAATTCTCAAAACCCATTATGAACATAGCATTTTTTCTCCAGAAAAAGGAGAGTTTCACAGCAACTCTCCTGATCATTTAGAATGATAGAATAATCTATGATCTCCGCATTGTTTTGTTTTGTTTTGAGACAGGGTCTCCTGTGGCTACAGCTTGCCTGGAACTTGTTATGTAGACCAAGAACAGCCAGTGCTCTTAACCACTGAACCATCTTTCCAGCCCTGTGTTTCTACATTTTTTTCCCTATAATGCCTTAGCATTTTAGTAATTTTTTTTTTTTTCAGTCTTTTTGAGACGGTCTCCCTGAAGCCCCAGCTGGCCTTGAACTCACAGAGAACTGCCTTCCTCTGTCTCCCAAGTGCTGGGACTAAAGGCGTGCCCCACCATGCCCGGTGCATTTTAGTAATTTTCACATTACCATTTTCTCCCCTCTATCAAAAACTGATAATAAGGTTAGGGAGATGGCTCAGTGGGTAAAGTGCTGGCTGTGTAAGCATGAGGACCTGTGCATGTCTATAACCCCAACACTAGGGTGCAGAAACGGGAAGATACTTGAGGGCTTGCTGACCAGTCAGTTAAGCCAAAACAGCAAGCTCTGGATTCAGTGAGCGACCCTGTCTCAAAAAAAAAAAATGGAAGGGGCTGGAGAGATGGCTCAGTGGTTAAGAGCACTGACTGCTCTTGCAGAGGACCCAGGTTCAATTCCCAGCATCTACGTGGTAGCTACGAGCCGTCCTTAACTCCAGTTCCAGGGGAATCCAAAGCACTCTTCTGACCTCCACGGCATTGCACAACACAGGTGCACTCACATACATGCAGGTGATACACTCATAAAATAAAAATAATAAGTAAAATATTTTTTTTAAAAAAATCAGATGGGCCAGGCATGGTGGCACACACCTGTAGTCCCAGCACTTGGGAGGCAGAGGCAGGCGGATCTCTGTGAGTTCAAGGCCAGCCTGGTCTACATAGTGAGTTCCAGGACAGCTGGGGCTACAGGGAGACCCTGTCTCAAAAAGACAAAAAAAAAAAAAGTTATTGAAGAAGACATCCTAACATCAACCTCTGGCTTCCACATGTGCCTCAGCATGAACACACACATGCACACATAGACCATACACACAAAAAAGTTGATAATAGGGGTTAGGGGGTCTGGCAAGATGGTGCAGTAGTTGAAGGCACTTACCACCAAGCTTGGTGACGTAAATTTGATTCCCAGGACTCACATAATGAAAACAAAGAACCAACTCCCAGAAGTTGTCCTTAAGAAAATCTCCACATGTGCATGTATGTACACACACACACACACACACACACAGGCACACACATAAATCAATAAAAAAAAATGTTTCAAAACAGGCTGGACTATAGCTCAGTCGCTAAACTGTCTATTGTACACAAAGACCTGGGATCCATCTACAGCATCACATGAACCAGATGTGGTGGTGAATACCTACAATGCTAGCCTGAAATCCCAGCACTTGGGAGGTGGAGGCAAGAGGATCAGTAGTTCAAGATCATCTTCAGCTGCATTGCCTGTTTGAGGCCAGCCTTGGCTATATGAAACTTTCTTAAAAATCAAAAATATTTCTACTTCAGAAATTCCAAAGTATTTAGGAGGGTGTGTGTGTGTGTGTGTGTGTGTGTGTGTGTGTGTGTGTTTATATACACATCAGGGAAGGAGGATGAAGACCAAACATGTTTTATAATATGGGTGGGTGGGTGGGTGGGTAATACATAGTCCACAGGACACAGTGAAATTCAAGAGTAATTGAATGCTTTTCAAGTAAGCTTGTATCTAAAATATGCCTTTAAAATGGACTTCTACCTCATTAGACTATTACTCGTAACCACCATGATGGTATGGGGTGTTTTGTTGTGATTAAATTTATAGGCTATTTGGTATAAAAGCTCCCTGTCTTCTGTGGCTTTGAGCCTGGAGGGTTCTAACCAAGCTCAAAGTCAGGAAAAGGAGGTGTGGGCTTTGGGACTGTGCCGCCCAGGAGCTCAAATGTGGTTGGTAGTCTCCTCCCCTTCCGCACTTGAGCTCTACACACAGTGCACTCTGGAATGACAGGCATTCCTGTATGAAGAGAGCCAGCGTGAAGACATTTTTAAGAACTACAAGTACCCAAGGCCAGGATACAGGAAAACAGAAACTCCAGCAGACTAACTGATCTCATGCTGTTTCCTGGTGTTTGGCAGTGACAGAGGAGGATTGCTGGGCCCTTCCTTATGTGAATTTGTCTTTTAAGAGAAGTCTGCTTTTGTCTGGGACAGTTTGTTGTCGTGAGATACATCTAAGACAATTATAATCATGGGGCAAGCTGATGTCTCCAGACCGGTAAATCCAGATGCAGCTGGTGAGTAATAGAAGGCAAAGAAGTAACAATCTGGCAGAGGGAGGCAGCTGTGCAGGTGAAATGGAGCCTTTCATAGGAAGTTGAATGCAAGACTTTGGAATGTTTACAGAAGTTTGTGAGGAATGAATGAAAACTTATATGTTATTTTCACTTAGTTATATTAATCTACCTCTCACAATTTTACTTGATCTCTTTGGAGTGCTTTTGGATTATATTGCTAGGAAGTTACCTGTTTATTCATTTCTTGCCCTTGTGCATAAGTGTATCAGGCACTGTCACTTAAAATTTAGAGGTATTTTACTGGTATTTGGCAGGTTTGGGCAATTGTTAAGTATGTGATCTAGAACTAAAACTACTGACTTCTAAGAACAGGACCGTTTTTAACAATTCTTTTTTTAGACTTGTTGCTCATTTTCTAAGTCAGTCTCATGCTTTTGCTGTTGTGTTGATGTCTGAGTTTCTCATGAGACATTTGATGTACACACTTGTGAGGTCAGAGCCTTCTGACAAGTGTTTTCACAGGGGATCACTACACAGAGCAGGCTTGGAAGTGTGAGTGTAGCTTGGAGTTTAAAGCTTGGAAGAGAGGTAGTCCGTTGGACTGCACCCATGTCTTCCCAACTTTGTGGGGTTTTATATTTGATGATGACCATGAATTAGGAACAATAGGTTAAAGTAGAGAATTGGATAAAACAAAGTGGGAGGAAAGCTGTAAAGTGTTTCTGGACAATATGCTGTTCATGAAAAAGGCTTATTTGATAACTTATTTATGAAAGTGGCAGGAAGCGTATTTAGTCTTGTGTTACTTTTTCCCCACTGAGAAATAAAAATGTTGGTGACTAAAGAAAAGTATGAAAGTTTAGGAATGCAGGTGATCTCGTAATTTGTTAGAATTTACTTCTGAAGGTAATGTTTTCACTCCACAGCTTTCCAGGTAAAATATTTTTCATGTAGTTCATGTATTTGTGAAATTGAGGCACATGAATGACAGAGTAGTCAGCCACATTTTCAGTTCTTGAACAGTACTTGATCCAGTTTACTCACTTTTTTTCTGATCACCAGGACTGAATCTTTATCAATTCAATAGCTCACTTAAAAAAGAAGCAGGAAGGGGGAGGCTTTATAAATAGAAAAACATACACAAAACAGTCCAAGAACCCTCTGAGACCATTTTCTAGGGTGAGAAATTAAGTAAAAAACATAGAGGCTGGGTGTGGTGACGCACACCAATGATCCCAATACTTGAGAGGTAGAAATGAGGATCAGGAATCATCCCTAGCTGCATAGCAAGTTTGAGATCAGCCTTGGTTTTGTGAAATCCTGTTGCACACACACAGATACGCCCAGCCTCTCTCTGCCTCTTATGCCTTCGTTCCCTTATAATGACATTTTGCTTCTTTGTCCCTAGAGTCATCCCTCTCCTGTATTTGATAATAACTTACTTATGGAACGTTATATTTTCCTGTGCTTCCTCCAAAGATAGTTCTTTGTTAACAAATATAATAAAAACTCAAATAATGCTAGGCATTTGGCTATGTGATAAAAATGAAAGGATTTTGAAAAGCATCAAGTTGTTAGCTGATACAACTTACAGTGGTAATATTTATGAGAACAATTTATCTTATTTCTATATTGATAAGTACTTTTTATGTTTTTAAGAAAGAATAGCCGGGGCGTGGTAGTACATGCTTTTGGTCCCAGCACTCAGGAGGGAGGAGGCAGGAGGATCAGAAATTTAGGGTCATCCTTGACTACATAAGTTTGAAGCTAGCCTGGTCTACCTGAGACAAGAGGGAAAAAAAAAAAGAAATCAATTTCATTACTTTTTTCCTATCAGTGACACTGATAAAAGATGTTTGGAAGAGTGGAGATGTAGCTCAGTTATAAAGTACTTACTTGGATAAGCAAGACCCTGGATTTAATCCTGAGCACTAGAAAAAAAAAATCATACACAATAACAACAAAATAAATATTAAAAATTCTTTAAAAGTTCCTCTCTGTCTTCTCTGCCCTGGGAGAAGCTCTCCTGCCTTGGCCCCTCACCCCTGAAAATGTATGTCTGCTCCAAGTTAGTCTCTACCCACTCCTTAGTGCGGAGCACCTCTCAGCTACTGAGTGGACCTCTACCTGCAGTGGTGTTGAACTGACTAGAGACCTTGGCAGATGAGAGCCTCAGCAGCTTGGCGGTCCCACGTCCCCTGACTTCACTTGTCCCTAAACACAGCTTCCAAACCAGTGCCTTTTCGAGGGACATCAAGATAGCAGCCAAGTTCATTGGAGCTAGGGTGACAGACTCTGGGGCTGGGATTGCGTCTGTGTTTAGGAACCTCATTATTGGTTGTTCGGAGCCCATCTCTGAAGCAACAACTCTTCTATGCAATTCTGAGCTTTGCCCTCTCTAGGGCCACTGGGCTCTTTTGCCTAATGGTGGCCTTTCTCATCCTCTTCACCATGTGAAACAGCTGTGTCTACCTCCCATAGTTCTTTCTCCCATGTCTTATCTGCTCTGCATGTCCCTTTTCCTGTACCTCCCAGGAAGTCTGGGAAGAGTGGTTGGTTCAGGGTTTGACAGAAGAAAATAAATACTGTAGTAGTAATAAGGAAAAAAAAGTTTCAGTAGTTACCTGTTCAGATGGTTTTACAAGATTCTTTAGAAGGATAAAGTTTTCATTGTTTAATGTTCCAGACCTGTAACATAGTACTTAGGTCTTTTATTTTGTTCTTGTTTTTTTACAGTCTTTTTATTTTTCTGGTCTTTTTTTAAAGACAGGGTCTCCCTGTAGCCCCAGCTGACCTGAAATTCACTATGTAGACCAAGCTGGCCTCAAACTCACAGAGATCTGCCTGCCTCTGCCTCCCAAGTGCTGGGATTAAAGGGGGCACCTGGAGGCCAGAGATTGATGTTTTATTTTTATTTTTATTTTTATTTTTATTTTTGAGACTGGGTTTCCCTGGCCTGGAACTTGTTATGGAGACCAAACTGGCCTCAGTCTCACAGAAATCCACCTCTCACCTCTATCTCTCAAGTGCTGGGATTAGAGGTCTGTGCCACCACGCTTGGCTTTCTTTTCTTTTTTTTTAAAAAAAAAAAGAAAAATTTATTTGTGTGTGTGTGGTATTGTGTGTCTGTATGGTGTGTGCACATGTGCATTCAGGTATGCATGTGTGTGTGGAGGTCTAAAGTGTACATTGGGTCCACTTCAATTGCTCTGTGCCTTATTTTTTTTCCCTTTTTTAAATTTTTTTAATTGTGTGTGTGTGTGTGTGTGTGTGTGTGTGCATATACACACAGATATGTATGTGTGGTGTCAGGTGTGTACCATGATTTCTTTGTGGAGGTCAGAGGACAACTCAAAGGAGTCTGTTTTCTGTACCACCATATGGGCCCCAGGGATCAAACTCAGGTCATCAGGCTTGGCAACAGAGCATCTTTACCTGCTTAGCCATCTTGATGGCTGCTCATCATCCCATACCACAATCTCCCAACCCCACTCCCATGTCTCACTGAACCCAAAGCTCATCAATTTAGGTAGAGTAGCTGGCCAGTTAGCTCCAGTAACCTGTTTCCTACCCACCCCCACATACATGCAATAAAAATGGGGGGACCTTTTTTTTTAAACCCACAAAATTTAACAAATGATTATTTCAAAATCTGAAAATGTGTAAGTAGATATAGAACTGAAACCAAATAATTTTGTCACCTATTAACAAATCTAGTGAAAGGATGGTAGAAGTGAAAGAATGCTGAAGATTTGTTCTGAGACCTTTGTTGCCTGGTTGTACCTGTCATCCAACATTGGTGATCTAGTACAAGTTGTTGCTGCTAGGTGTTAGGTAATGTACTACTTGGGACTCCAAGGCAGGAGGATCTCTGTGAGTTCAGGCCAACCAGGACTATATATGAGACTTTGTCTCAAAACAACAAACAAACAAAAACCAGAACTAGTTGTTGGTTCAGATGAGATGGTGTTCGCCTGTAAAACGAGCTACTCTGGAGACTGAGGATGGATAGGCTGATATTCAAGTCCAGCCTGGGCAAGTTAGCGAGCCCTTGTCTCAGAATGGAAACCAGAAAGAAAGCCTATTGTGATAGCATACACCTTTAATTCTAGCATTCAAGAGGCAGAGGCAGGCAGATCTCTGTGAGTTCTAGGCCATACAGGGCTACATAGTGAGACTCTGTCCCCCGACTCCTTCCCCCCAAAAACATTAGTTTTAAGTGCTTGACTGTACTTTTTGTTGTATAATGTAATGTGTTATCTTTAAGTTTTTTCTTTACAGGTGATGTAATTAAATGTTTCTCTGTCAGACACATTCATAGTAGGAAGCTTAAACCACTGTATCAGTTTTCATAGATCTCTGAGAATGTTAGCAGAGGTTAATGACCAGTTTGGATTTATAGCCATCCATTGTCATATTTTAAAAGCCTTCCTTTGACAGCTAACATTTCTACCCATTTGTAGATCTTAAATTTGGTCTTGGTCTCTTGCTCCTTCAGGAAAAACTGTACTGTTGGCATATTAGGAGAACACTTTTAAATCCAAATTAGTCAGGTGTGGATCATACCTTTAATCCTAGCACTTGGAAAGCTAGGACAAGAGGACTGAGAAGTCTGGGCAGGAGCCTGTGAGATGGCTCAGCGGGTAAAGGTGCTTGCCACTAAGATGGACAATCTGAGTTTAAGCCCCAAAACCCGCATAAGTGGAATGAGAGAACTGACTTCGACAAGTTTTTCTCTGACCTCTAGCACACAAGCACCCACAACATACATACAGAAAATAAAGGTAATAGTGGCACATGTCTTTAATCCTAGCACTCGGGAGGCAGAGGCAGGCGGATCTCTATGAGTTCAAGGCCAGCTGGGGCTACAAGGAGACCCTGTCTCAAAAAGACACCCCCCCCCAAAAAAAATTCTAAGCTAGTCTGGACTGCATAGCTAGTCTGAGGCCAGTGGGCTACGTAGCAAGATACTGTCTATTCAAATCAACACGTCTCAATTG